ACCTCCTTTCCCCCTCCCATCACTCCCCTTTCCCCTCTGGCCGCCTCTTCCCCTCGCCCATGCACTCACCTCCCTTTCGTGAGGGACCCCATCTCCCTTCCCCCGCATGACAGCACCTCCTTTACCCTCCCATCACTCCCATTTCCCCTCTGGCCGCCTCTTCCCCTCCTCCATGCACTCACCTCCCTTTCGTGAGGGACCCCATCTCCCTTCCCCTCTGACAGAACCTCCTTCCCCTCCCCATCACTCCTTTCCCCCCTTTGACGCCTCCTCCCCTCCCCCATGCACTCACCTCCTGTCGGTTGGTGGGACAACACAGCCCTTCCCTTCCCCCATGCACTCACCTCCTGTCGGTTGGTGGGACAACACAGCCCTTCCCTTGTAGGACAGCACCTCCTTTCCCCATCACTCCCCTTCCCTCCTTGACGCCTCTTCCCCTCCCCATGCACTCACCTCCTTATAATCTCACTCCGTCCGTTTTTCCTCTCAATCAGCCCATCCCTAACATTATTTCGCATAACTTCCCTAACCCATTTTCTCCTTCATACTATTCTTACGGTGACAACTAATCGCATCACGCCCTACATACTCTCATTCCGTCCATCCCTAATCTCCACACGCACTTCCCTCTCATAGTTTTTACCATCACCCTATCTTTACGACATTCCTGCTGTAAATCCGCCCTTCCTCCCCCTGGCTCGCATTAGCTAGTGCCATTCCGCCCTTCTCCCTCCCCCCACTGACCTTACCTCCCTTCCCCATCTGACTTTACCTCCCTCCCCCCACTGATCTTACCTCCCTCCCCCCTCCATCCACAATTCTTCCCCTCTATCCGCCCTTCTTCCCTCTATCCGCCCTTCTTCCCCTGTATCCGCCCTTCTTCCCCTCTATCCGCCCCTCTTCCCCCCTTATCCGCCCTTCTTCCCCTCTATCCGCCCTTTGGCCCCCTATCCGCCCTTCTTCCCCTCTATCCGCCCTTCTTCCCCTCTATCCGCCCTTCTTCCCCTCTATCCGCCCTTCTTCCCCTCTATCCGCCCTTCTTCCCCTCTATCCGCCCTCTTCCCCTCTATCCGCCCTTCTTCCCCTCTATCCGCAATTCTTCCCCTCTATCCGCAATTCTTCCCCTCGATCCGCCCTTCTTCCCCTCTATCCGCCCTTCTTCCCCTGTATCCGCCCTTCTTCTCCTCTATCCGCCCCTCTTCCCCTCTATCCGCCCTTCTTCCCCTCTATCCGCCCTTCTTCCCCTCTATCCGCCCTTCTTCCCCTCTATCCGCCCTTCTTCCCCTCTATCCGCCCTTCTTCCCCTCTATCCGCCCCTCTGCCCCTCTATCCGCCTCTCTTCCCCGCTATCCGCCCTTCTTCCCCTCTATCCGCCCTTCTTCCCCTCTATCCGCCCTTCTTCCCCTCTATCCGCCCTTCTTCCCCTCTATCCGCCCTTCTTCCCCTCTATCCGCCCTTCTTCCCCTCTATCCGCCCTTCTTCCCTCTATCCGCCCTTCTAACCCTCTATCCGCCCTTCTTCCCCTCTATCCGCCCTTCTTCCCCTCTATCCGCCCTTCTTCCCCTCTATCCGCCCTTCTTCCCCTCTATCCGCCCTTCTTCCCCTCTATCATACCTTCTGCCCCTCTATCCGCCCTTCTGCCCCTCTATCCGCCCTTCTTCCCCTCTATCCGCCCTTCTTCCCCTCTATCCGCCCTTCTTCCCCTCTATCCGCCCTTCTTCCCCTCTATCATACCTTCTGCCCCTCTATCCGCCCTTCTGCCCCTCTATCCGCCCTTCTTCCCCTCTATCCGCCCTTCTTCCCCTCTATCCGCCCTTCTTCCCCTCTATCCGCCCTTCTTCCCCTCTATCATACCTTCTGCCCCTCTATCCGCCCTTCTTCCCCTCTATCCGCCCTTCTTCCCCTCTATCCGCCCTTCTTCTCCTCTACCCGCCCTTCTTCGGTGTAGGAGGCCTCTCTCCACCTTACCTCTATTGCACTTCGGCATCTCATTCCGCCCTGGGCCGCCATTTTGCCCCCCATTCCGCCCCACACCCCCTTTTCCCAGGCCCATTCCGCCCTTTACCACCTTACCCTACACCCATTCCGCCCTCTGTCGCCCTTCCGCCCCCTATTCCGCCGTCTACCGCTTTGCCGCCTCCTATTCCGCCTCCCTTTTCGCCCGCTACCGCCTTTCCGACTCCCATTCTGACCTCGTGTGTCATTCCGACTCGCCTATCGCCATGCAGTGCATTTCCGCCTCGCACAACTCCCCCTCTCGTCATTCCGCATCTCGTTCCGCACCTTACCGACATTTCACCCGTCAGTACGCCCTCTACTGCCTTTACCCCTCCTATTCCGCCCTCTATCGCCTTTCCGCCCCTCATTCCTCCCTCTACCGCCTTTCCGCTTCCCAATCCCCCCTGGCCCGCCATACCCGCCTCCATTCCGCCATCGTTAGCTCATTCCGACTCGCCTACAGCAATGTAAAGCCTTATACCTTGGCGCGAGACCTTTCTCTAAAGCCTTTCTGCGTTTCATTCCGCCCAGTACCGCCAGCTCGCCTCTCATGACGCCCTACTTCGCCTTTCCGACACTCATTCCGCCCTTTAGAGTCCTTCAGGCTCGCCTTCCGCCATGAAGCACCATTTCGCATCGCATTCCTCCCTTCGCAGTGTTACGAATTTCATTATGATAGTTACCGCCATGTCGCATGTCATTCCGCACCCTATCGTCATTCCTCCTATCATTCCGCCTTCCATTCCGCCATGAACCGCCACCCCATGGGTCATTCCGCGCCGTACCGCCATTCCGCCTATCATTCGGCCCTCTATTGCCATCACGTCTTTGGGCAACTCTGCGCATGGGCACCGGTCCCCCTGCCCCCAAAATGAATACACGCTTCTAGATTTTCGAAACACTTGTGCTGCGTCACGGCAATATGGTATGTGCTTACGCTCACCTGAATACTATTCCCGGACGACGCGCCTGAGGAACCCTCAGTCTACTTCCTGTGGAGGGGTGTACGATTGATTGGAGACCAAGGGGGACCTGTTCTGGTCTGCCTGCGTTTTTGTTTCCGTCGTTTGGGTTTGTCGCACATATCACAAACCTGCCCAACGAAGCTACGGCTGGCTCCAAACCTGACACTGAGGCTGCGTTCTGCGGCCACATCAGAGCCTGATGCGCCCTAGGCTCGGCAAATTGACAAATTGAAAAATTGAGGCTCGGTAATGTCCAAATTGAAATTGGAAAATGGAGGTTCGGAAAATGCACACGCAAGTTCGGGAAATCGGAAATTGGGGATGTCGAATTTCGGGCATGTCAAATTTCGATCCCAAAATTCCGACGAATTCCAGGGTGTTGAACTTTCATCGAAGTGGGGAAGCACGCACCTGGCGCCTTCCCCACGGGCATGATGAGCTGTTCAATTGCCCCAATTCGAGCTGATGCGCGCATCATGCGTGTTCTCGGCGTTGCATCATGCGCGCATCAAGGAAAATTGAGATTGCTAGAGAGATGAACTTCTCGGAAAGCGGTAACATGGAAATTTGAGGGTGTAAAAGAGGCCGTTCTGCAAGCATTCGGGATGGTTTGCCTCGGCAGCCAAGTGCTTATCGCGAGCCTTGATAACCCGCTGGCTGGTTATCAAGGAAGGCTCCTGGAACGCTGTAAAAATTTTCCAATTTACATTGATGCGGGCAGATGCGGCCGCAGAACGCAGCCTGAGAATGTGTTGGTGCCTTGCATATCAAGTGTTTCGCCAAACTCTTTCCCCAGCTCGTCACAAATTTCGTCATCCGCCACCCAATCAGGGTGGCCTAAACCAAACCAAGTGTTAAAACGAGGGTCTAGATTTGACAAGCGGAGGTTCAGAAGTTTTTGTTCTGAACCAGGCTTGCCAGCGCGAAGGTGTTGGCTGGCGAAAATCTGGAATTCGTGCGGGGAATTTTCCTCCGCAGTAACTGGTCGCCAGGGTTTAGGGGTTCGGGTGGCAAATGTGCACCGTCGCTTTAAAGCCCGAGTTCCACATGGCATTTTTCAAATTCAAGATTCTTGAATATGAACTCGCCAAAAACCAGGTTACCACCCAAAGTGCAGCTTTCCTTCACAACTCTGACGCATGATTGGCCAGCGACAAAAAAATGTATTCCGCGTGAAGTGCCACCGGGAGTTGGTCCACTGTTCACCCTCAGTAAACTTGAAAACCAAGTTGTACTTACGTGCAGCCATATTGAGTCTAGCACACGTAGTGCGCTTTGCTTTTCTAGACCACAAGAGCGCGTAATATCGCTTTTAGACAATGGCAGCGATATGTCTATATCCTTGCAGCAGCCTGACGGTTTTCCCCTCCAACGAAAATAATATTAGCCAGCATAAAGAAAAACGTCATGCGTCACGCCCAAATCTACAGGGTCGATGGAGCTCGCATGTTACGTTCGAAGCGCACAGATCAAGTGCACGGATCGGGCGCTAGCCTCACTTGTACGTTCGACGCACCCGCTTCCGCCCGTCGCACTCCCTTCCGCACGCCTGCACTCCCGCCCGTCGCACTCTCTTACGCCCATCAAACTCCCTCCCGCCGTCGCCCTACTGCCCGTCGCTCTCCCTAGTGCTCGTCGCACTCACTTCCGCCGTCGCCCTCCCTTCCGCCCGTCACCTTCCCTTCCGCCCGTCGCACTCACTTCCGCCGTCGCCCTCCCTTCCGCCCGTCACCCTCCCTTCCGCCGTCGCCATCCCTTCGTCTCGTCGCCCTCCCTTCCTCCCATTGGTCTCCCGACCACCCGCCGCCCTACCTTCCCCTCGTCGCGCTCCCTTCCGCCCGTTGCCCCCTTTGTCTCGTCGCGCACCCTGCTGCTCATCGCCCTCCCTCCCGCTCGTCCCCTCGCAATCCCCGTATCTCTCTCCCTCGTCGCCCTGGCATTCCCGTCACTGTCGCCATCCCTCCCATCTCCCTTCCCAACTCATTTGGACCAGTCACGCCCTCTTTCCAACCAACACACACGGTAGCGCTTACCCTAATGATCGCCTTTCACCTCCACACCGTTTACCTCTCTCCTTCCCCATGTCCCCTTCCCTGCTTCCCCCCCATCCCTTCCGTGCTTCCCCGTGTCCCTTCCCTACTTCCGCCCATCCCCTTCCCTGCTTCCCCCCATCCCCTTCCCTGCCTCCCCCAACCCCCTTTCCTGCTTTCCCGTGTCCCCTTCTCTGCTTCCCCCCATCCCCCTCCTTGCTTCCCCATGTCCCTTTCCCTGATTCCCCCCATCTCCTTCCCTTATATTCCCCCATCCCCTTCCCTGCTTCCCCCCATCCCCTTCCCTGCTTCCCCCCATCCCCTTCCCTGCTTCCCCCCATCCTCTCCCTGCTTCCCCCCATCCCCGTCCCTGCTTCCCCCCATCCCCTACCTGCTTTCCCCCCATCCCCTTCCCTGCTTCCCCCCATCCCCTTCCCTGCTTCCCCCCATCCCCTTCCCTGCTTCCCCCCATCCCCTTCCCTGCTTCCCCCCATCCCCTTCCCTGCTTCCCCCCATCCCCTTCCCTGCTTCCCCCCATCCCCTTCCCTGCTTCCCCCCATCCCCTTCCCTGCTTCCCCCCATCCCCTTCCCTGCTTCCCCCCATCCCCTTCCCTGCTTCCCCCCATCCCCTTCCCTGCTTCCCCCCATCCCCTTCCCTGCTTCCCCCCATCCCCTTCCCTGCTTCCCCCCATCCCCTTCCCTGCTTCCCCCCATCCCCTTCCCTGCTTCCCCCCATCCTCTTCCTGCTTCCCCCCATCCCCTTCCCTGCTTCCCCCCATCCCCTTCCCTGCTTCCCCCCATCCCCTTCCCTGCTTCCCCCCATCCCCTTCCCTGCTTCCCCCCATCCCCTTCCCTGCTTTTCCCCATCCCTTCCCTGCTTTCCCCCATCCCCTTCCCTGCTTTCCCATGTGCATTTCGACATACCAACGCAGGCCCTATCGCTCTTCCACTCACTATACTCTCTCCCCATTCCCTCCCCCTTTGCTCCTCTTCTTCTGCGCGGCAGGCCATCGAAGCACCAAATCCAGCAGATCTTTGACTGGATCTGCCTTGCTACGAACCCGCCACCGCCTCTCCGCCCCCTATGCACTTCGGCGGGTTCTGCGAGATGCCTTCTCTTCTGGTGGAGCTGTGAGGCAGCCTCCTGTCGAGACTGCCTTCAGCCTCCCCTGCTGCCCCATACTTGGAAGCTGCTCTGCCTGACAGCCAACACTATGCTGGCAAGGAGTTGAAGTTGGATCATGGGGCAGTCTCTCGCCTGCCAGCATGCCACAGGCACTCTTAGGGCACTCTAGCGGCTGTGAGATATGAAGAAGCCGGGGTTATCTGGCCGTAGGGATCGACTTGTGGATTGTGCTATGTGATGCGCAGGAGGCTTTTAGGTACAAGGGTCTACCTGTGATGATAGTGGGGTGTATTTTGTATGCCCATATCTCAGTGCTTATCCGAGTTCTTCTTCGTGATGCAACATATGAATACCGGAACTACTACGGTTGCTGCTGACGTTTTTTATTATGCAATTGGCTTGGCAGCCTGGTGAGTGCAGCACTTCTAAGGTAACAGACGAGGATTCTCACAAATACCGTAATAAGAGATGAGGTGACCGTTGAGGGCCCACAGAGATTGCAGTGGGGAGAACACCGCTCACGCTGTCATGTATGTGCATGACGCCGCACAGAACCGGCACGCTCACTGCCACGTCAGCATGCATGCCGGCGACTGCTGATCTGCGGAGATAACTCTAGTAACGGGAGCTAGACTACGGGCTAGGCACGGGTGCTCGTGTGATCTCTGCGTTCTCTGGTCCTTAGACGTTTTCCTAGTGCACACACTGCTTGCTAGTTCATAAGGCAATTTGGCAAGAGTTTCACTAGAGAAAGTTGACAACAATGATACAATGAAGTTGGCAAGGCAAGACTACATCAGAGCTAGCATGCAAGCAGATCGACTGCCAGCGCAGCACGGTCGACCGCGTGCCAGCACGACTTGGTCGACTGCGCTCCAGCAGTGCAGAGACGCGGCTTGCCAACGCTGTAGGTCGACGGCGTGACAACCGTGCTAGTCGACGGCGTGCCAGCGTTGCTCCTGCAGTCCAGTAGCGCACCAGCTCCGCAGGTGCTCGTAGGCGATTGGCGCGCACTGCTTCGTCACCTGCACAGCGCACACACCAAGTCCACCTCGTGCTGACGACCGCACCTCATCCGCCAGGTCGACCTCGGGATACCACCACCGAGGTCGTCCTCGCCAACTTCGCCTGAGCGACCTTCGCGTGCCTTCGCAGACCCTCGTCACCCAGGTAACCTGGTCGACCAGGCAACCAGGTCGACCAGCCGTTCCCGTGCGTGCCCGTCGACCTCCCAAGTCGACGACCACTTTCGGTCGACCTCCCCAGGTCGACCACTACTCCCTGGTCGACCAGCTCTAGGTCGACGTCACTCCTGGTCGACCAGAGGGTCTGGTCGACGTCCCAGGCCGTGCAGGTCGACCAACCTCGTCGACCGACTCGCCCACTGCTGCAGGTCGGCTGCACCCTACACCCGACCACGAGGTCGGCTCCGCCCAAGCGAGGACGGGGCCAACACCCAACTCCCGTTGACACTCCCCTGCCGCGTTCACGCTTGGGCCCCCCAGCCCACACGGCAGCACCTCTCGGAGAACAGCTCGTCGACGTGCACCCAACACACAGCACGTCGTCCACCGCACCAGCCATGCAAAAGGGCATGGCACCTACTGCTGCACTTCGTCAACTCCGTCGCCCACGTCGGCCAAGCATACCTGGCCGATAGCGACCGAGCACCGGTTGAAAGCCGGATAGTGCAGCGCCTTCGTGAGGAAGTCGGCCGGCTGCTCAGCGGTCGGGATGTACTGCAGCGCAAACTTCCCCCGCTTCACCATGTGCTGCAGCCAGGCCTGTCGCCGTTCCATGTGCTTGAGGTTGCCCGTCAACCCCATGCCCTCGGCGACTGTGATGGCCGACTTGTTGTCCACCCGAAGGACGGTCGGCTTCCCAGCATCCAGCTGCTGGAACTCTGCGAGGAGGAAGCGAAGTCGGCGTCCCTCCTTGCCGGCTTCGACGGCCGCCACGTACTCCGACTCGGTCGACGACAGTGTCGCGCACTTGATGCGCTGGCTCGACCAGGAGACCGCGGCCCCTCCGTAGACGAACACGTAGCCGCCCGTGCTCGTCCTGCTCTGCTTGTCACCGGCGTCGTCGGCGTCCACGTAGCCGACCAGCTCCAGCGACTCAGGTCCACCGCCGAACTCCAGGGCGGTGTCACGCGTGTTGGCGAGGTAGGCGAGGCAGCGGTCGACCTCGCGCCAGTGCTGGTCGCTCCTCACCGTGAGGCCGCTCCCCAGCTTGCTGCAGGCGAAGGCGATGTCCGGCCTCGTTGTCGTCGCCGCGAACTGCAGCGAGCCGACCTTCTGCCGGTATTCCTCCTCCTCGTCGTCGAAGGTGAGCTCGGCGTAGGCGTCGACCGAGACCGGCGTCTTCGGAGTCCGTCCGCCCTGCTCCTCGTCGATGAAGCGCCTACGCAGCTTGTCGGCGTAGCCCTGCTGGTGCAGCCACAGCTTCCCCGCCGACCTGTCGCGCACGATCTCCAGCCCGAGGTACTTCTGCACCGGCGAGATCTCGCGCAGCTCGAAGGCGGCCTCCAGCAGCTCCTTCAGCTCCTTCAGCAGCGCGGGGCTGCTGCTGGCGGCGAGCAGGTCGTCGACGTAGACCAGCACCCAGCAAGTCGCTTCGTCGTCGCCGACCTTGAAGTAGAGAGCCTCGTCGACCTGGCTCTTCTTCCACCCGGCGCCGACCAGCACATCGTTGAGCGCCAAGTACCACAGCAGCGGCGACTGCTTCAGCCCGTATAGGCTCTTCAGCAGCTTGCACACCCGGCCGGTTCCGTCGTTGAAGTAGTCCGGCTGGGACATGTAGAGCACCCGGTCGAGCTTGCTCTGCAGGAAGGCGTTCTTCATGTCGAGCTGCATCAAGTTGAGGTTGAGCACGGCGACGATGCTGAGGAAGATCCTCAGCGTCACGTAGCTCCCCACCGGCGCGAACGTCTCGTCGTAGTCGGCGCCGTACACCTGCGTGAAGCCCTTCACGACCAGCCTAGCCTTCTCCCGCTCGACGGTGTCGTCGATGTTGTACTTCGTCGTCAGCACCCACCGGTTCTTCATGACATTCACTCCCGGCGGGCGTTCGACCAGCTTCCACGTACCCATGGCGAGGAGACTACGGATCTCTTCCTCCATGGCGGCCTTCACTGCTGGACCCTTCCAGCTCGCCAGCGCCTCCTTCACCGTCATCGTCGAGATGTCCCAACGGTGGTCGGGGTCGGCCAGCATGTCGGGGTCGAGCTCCGGAAACTCCTCGTCCTCGTCGGCGTCGTCGTACAGGATGTCGTCGTCGTCCTCCACGTCGTACACCGTGGTGAAGGCAGCGGGGATGAAGAAGTCGGGCGGCCTTCGAAGTCGACCAGACTTCCGGGGTTCAGGCGGAACCCCCACCACGTCACGGTCGGTGGACCGGTCGGCCACCTCCTGGTCGACCAGCTCCTCGTCGCCCAACTGCTCCCCTTCATCTTCACTGCCGTCCTCGTCGCCCTGCTGCACCTCGGTCGGCTTCCCGGTCGACTGCTCCTGGGTCGACCTCGTGGCTGCCTGCTCCTTTGTCGGCTGCACCTCCTCGAACTGCTCCCCCTTTATCCAAGTCGACTGCACTCCCAGGTCGACCTGCTGCTTGTCGACCTGCTGCTCGTCGACTTGCCGCTCGTCCTGTCGGCCACCGGCGATGCCCTTGGTCGGCGCCACAGGCGACGTCCCACTGCTCCCCTCATCGCCGGAGGCCGACGACGGAGTCAGCCCACGAAGGTCGACGAGGGGAGGTGCAGGGGAGGGAAAGGAAGGGTGGTCGACCTCGGCGTCGTCCACGGCAAGCTCACCGACCTCGGCGAGTAGAGGGAGCGTGGCCGTCGAGGTATCCGTCGGCGTGGACACTAGCGTCCGCCCTGACACCGGCCCATGCGCCGACTTCCACTCCTCCAACGACAGGTCCTCGTAGAACACCACGTCCGACGTGGTGACCACCCGGTTGGCGGCAATGTCGAGGAGCTCCCATCCCTTGCTCGCCTCCGACACACCGAGGTGAAGGCCCCACTTGGCCTTTGGCTTCAGCTTCCCACCACGCTGCTGCTCGGGGACGAGGAACTGCGCCATGCAGCCCCACACGCGCGCCAGCGACAAGTCGGGCTTCGTCCCAGTCAGCAGCTGGTACGGCGTCGTCCCCGGCGTCGCCGATCGCTCCAGGCAGTTGCGGATCCAGACGGCCTGCCGCAGGGCGAGGTGCCACCAGTGGTGCTGCACGCCCATGTGCAGTAGCATCGTCCTCACCGACTCCACCACCGTCCGCATCTCCCGCTCCGCCATGCCGTTCTGCTGCGGGGTGTACGGGCAGGTCAGGTCGTGGACGATCCCCTTGCCGTCCACGAAGTCGGTGAACGTCTTCCCGAGGAACTCCCCACCTCGGTCCGAGCGCAGCATCAATACCGACTTCTTCGTCTGCCTCTCCACCAGCACCAGCCACTTCTGGAACTCCAGCAGCACATCCGACTTCTTGGCGACCGGCCTCACCCACACGTAGCGGGACTTACGGTCCTTCAGCAGCAAGAAGTACAGGCTACCGTCCTTGGCAGCCACGCGGAACGGCCCACACAAGTCGAGGTGGACGACGGCTAGCACGTCGGCGGCGTCGGAGCCTTGGTCGGGGAAGGTGTGCCGTGCCAGCTTCCCGCCGACGCACGAGACACACGGTGGGTCGGCGCCCGTCGCCGACTTGAGGTCCAGCCCAATGGCGACCTCGTTCTTCGCCGAGCTCCTGATGGTGTCCATGCCGACGTGCGCAAGCCGAGCATGCATCCTGTTTGGCGTCGACTTCGTCTTGGAGACGATCGCCCGCAGGGCCACAACCTCCGGCGTGGGCGACGTCGACCTCGTTGAGCAGGGACGCAGGTCTGTGCAGAGGACTCGCCCGGAGTACGTCGCCCG